GAAATGAGTTAGAAAGGATCCTGAAACGGAGAATCCAACCAGAGACAATAGTAGAGACAATGTTGTCGAGTCAAACTGCTTGGAACGCTACAAACACTTTTGCCACAGAAGTCCTTACAGAGCTGCGTTCCATTGAAAGAAAAAGAGCGAATGACAGAAACTAAAAGGAGATATAATAACATCTTAGCCACCAAAAGGAAGAGCGGCAGCTAATTCCTCCCCCCGCGAAGAAATGCCTTACGGCGGTACCATGGAGGATTAGAGGATAGAAGAGAAAGGGGTTTAGGGTTTAGTGGGTAGGGGCATCAGCGTCGAGTTTTAGTGTGACGCTGCGTCGAGTCGCCACATATCCAGGCCAACAACTATGCCTAGAATCCGTAAAAAGGATTCCCCCCCCCCAAAAAAAAACACACACACACACACACCACCGCGGGGGTAGTCAGGGAAGCTTCCTATGACCTTAAAACGTCGAGATTTGATGAAAACTCGATTTTTGCAAAACGGGGTGAAAACAATAACTTCCCGATTTTTGAAAATCTGAGATTTTTAGCGGGAAGTTAAAAAAGGAAATCAGAAGCGATACAACTTCTTTTAAAACAGATTTATTCATTGAGCCAAAGTGAAGATCTTAATTCTGCTGGTATGAGTTTATTATTCTAGTTTTAAACTGATTGTTTTATAACAATAATTAATTGTTTTTTGTTGTTAATTTAGAGCTCAAAACAGTTTGTATCCTGAAACTGTTGCCGCTTCTACTTCCTCAGCCCGGATCTTTCCAAAGTGCACAAGGTATTTTACCACAATGGCGACCTAGTAAGGAAGAAGTCCAACAAGGTTTCATACTTCACTTTGATGATGACCTTAAACTAAGAGCAGAATTGAAAAATCGTCGACAATTTAAAAAATTATGGTCTAATCGAGCAACCGATAGTTGCAATTGTCGGAAAGAATAAAATAGAATCGTGTAGTGTTTATATTAACAATATTACATACAAACTTTCATCAGTTCTTCAAGCAGTGGACACGGCTTTTAAAAGTTTTTACGCGTTTCAATTAATGTACCCTTAAGAAGCAAAAAATCCCTGGATGGTCATTCAACGAAAAATTCATGACGTCAAAGGAGAAAAAGACGGAGTAGTTTTGCCTGGCGTTCTTACTTTTATCACGGATCTAAATAATCGTCAAATTTAATCTTACCATTTTATGTTCTTTTTATAATACCTGTTCTTTTTATAATGCCTGTTTGCTTTCTGTGTCGGCAAAATTTTGGCATAAATATTTGAAAACATCATTTTGAATCAGTACATTACAACAATAAAGATTTAAAAACATATCCTTGTGGAGAAGTTAATTGTAATAGATCTTATAATAATTATTTTTCATTTTAACGGCACTGGACCACAAATCATGATTCAAGCTCGAAGTATGAAGAATCTGGAACAAAAGCTGATTTATTTTCAATTAATGAGGACAAACTCTGTCAAGTTTCATCAGTTAGTGAACAAGAAAAATCCGACAAAAGTTTAATATTAAATCCATCGTCGAGCAAAACTCAGAGCACGAATATAAAATTGCAAGAATATTTAAAAATTTACAAGACGATTTTCTACATTCTAGCCTAAAAATGTACAATACTCCTGCAGTATCACGTAAATAACATGTTCAACAATTCTTAACATCCTCAAAAGCTTTAGTTAATACTGGTCTAAACACTATTAAAGAATTATTAAATTTAAATTCGGATTCCTCTGGTATGGTAAATTTAAAAGATGTTACGAATTTATTTGATTCATTTTCTGGTGCTTTTGATAATCTTGACACAGAACATAAACGAATAAAGATTCTTAAAGATAAAAATTTATACTTTGAATCAGAAAAGTTTTTGCTTGGTGAAAAATTCAAAGGTTGTAAGCGTAATTTGGATGGCACTGTGAAAAAGACATCTTCTGAGGCATACGCTTATCAATTCCCTATTAAAACTATGTTAAAAAAAATTTTTGAATTACCAGAAGTATACACGGAAAGAAAATTGTACGAAAAATTACAATGGAAACATAGTAATTTTTAGTATAGAACATTGTAGTGCCGGACCAGAACTCAAACATGGTAATTTATACGTTGCAACATCGTAAATTTCTATCACTCAAATGAAAAAGAATTTTAGTTCACCGAAAAAATAATTCCGTGTCACCGAGGAATCGAACCCGGTATTTTCTCCGCCAAAGGCCTAAGGCTTATCCCCTTACGCCATCAGACTTTCTGTTCAGTCACATAATAAGACCCTCCATACAGTAATTGATCATCTTTCGGTGGTGGCGTCGCAAACTACTAGACTCTGTCTCTCTTTTATTAAAACATATAGTATGCGTCCTTCCCCTTATTCACTTGCTCTTACGGAAAAAAAATTTACTAAATAACATAGTAATTTTCAATAGTTCAAATTGTATTCTATAGACGGCAGCATCATAAAAATCAATATACTGAAAGTCTAGTCCTGGATTACGATGTTACCAATGTAATTTTTCATAGGATTTTTTTTCCGTGTATGATACGGTTCTAACTTATGTACAACAACTGGAAGGAGAGACGTCAGTGATTTCAAATTTTATCCAATCTAATTTATGGATAAAAAAAAACACGGATCTTTGGATCGAAAAGAGTTTTCCCTCTTATGCTGTTTTGCGATGATTACGAAACTGGAAATGCTCTTGGTAGCCACTCAGGATGCAATAAGTTATGTGGATGCTACATAACGTTGCCATGTTTTCCACCACAGTATCAGTCTTCATTGGATACAATCTTTCATGCACTTCTTTTTTACTCTAAAGATAGAGATCAATTCGGAAATGCTAGTATTTTTAGACTGTTAATTGATCAATTAAACGACTTAGAAACACAAGGTTTGGAGCTTGAATTATTGCAGGGGAAAGTTCAAATTTATTTTAAATTAGGCTTAATAGTTGGTGATAATTTGGGCCTTCACTCGATATTGGGCTTTGTGGAAAGCTTCAATGCTAATTACGCGTGTCGTTTTTGTAAAATGGACAAGGATCTACGATCTATGGCATCTCTTAAAGACCCAGTTTATATAAGGACCAAATCTACGTACGAGAAAGATTTTTTTCACCGCTTAAACGATTTCCACGTTAAGGAAAATTTTGCAGCAGATATTATGCACGATGTTTTTGAGGGAGTTTGTATGTTCGACATGGCCGCTTTATTAAAACATTATGTTACAGTGGAAAAATTTTTTCCTCTAGAACAATTAAATCACCGGATGCATATTCATATCTGGGGTGCAACTGAATCGAATATTCCTTTACCAATAGCTGACAATGACTTCAGAAACGAACATTTACGTAGGTCAGCTGCAGAGATGCTGACATTTGTCAGGCATTTTGGCCTGTTGGTAGGAGATTTAGTACCGGAAGATGATCCAGCTGGGCAAATTTATTCTATTCTGCGGCAAATTATAAACATAATTTTATCGCCATCTGTACAAAGAGGATGTCACTTGATGCTAAGAGTTCTGATTCACGAACACCATACATTAGTTCGCAGTGTATTGAAGAGACAACTTAAGCCAAAGGACCATATTTTCACTCACTTGCCAACGATAATGGCAGAATGTGGACCTCCAATTCACTTTTGGTGCATGCGGTTTGAAGGGAAACATCGAGAGTCGACAGTTCCAGCATCTGTGAGCAATTGTAAAAAAAAACATTGCTCAAACAATTGTTACGAAGCATCAGTTAAAGTTTGCTTGCCAACTTTACACGATGAATATAAATCCTGTTTTTGAAGAAGGACCTTCGTCATCTTGCAAATTGAGTGATTTATCTGTAACATTTGCTGATAGCTTAAATAGAGAGCCGAATTTCCTAAATACCGTCATACACAAGGTCAATTTGGAAACAGAAATTTAACATTTTAACATCCACCCCTGCAATCCTTATTGAGGGTGGGTTGTAGTAAAATCCGCTCTTAGATCACATCCGCAAAACATATGGAAGACAACTAAATTTGCCTTCTGTAGGATCAATCTATAATTTGAAAATTGCAAATTTTTATTGTTAATATCCACTCCTGCAACCCCCTGTGGAGTGAGCTATCGTAAAATTCGTTTATAGATTATTTCTATATTTCTTACAGGAGATTTCTACCAAATTCGAGGCCTATAGGAGCTATAGTTTGAAAACGAGAATTATTCATAGTTAACGCTCCCGCAATCCCCTATGGGGGAGGATTTTTTTGAAATTTTTGAAGTGAAACTTCTTTAGAATCGTTGTGATTTCAAACCTGATGCAACGGAAATGCGACAGGTAAGAGACACAAATACAAAAATGTGTAGAATGAAGCCGGTAAAGAATGAGACAGAAATATACGCACTATTTTATATTATCGGTCTCTCCTCTTTGTTCCATACTTCATAGCGTCCCCACTCCCGTCTTCTAAGCATAGTCGCCTGTAATTAGTGAGCCAAAGCGAGAGAGCACACTGTTTAATACTTGCTTGTATTTGAGCATTTAACGTGTGTTAGTATATGTGAAAAGTACGTGAGCTAATACTACTTTACACTGTATGCGGCTGCGTATTACAGCTTTTTAGTAAGATGTCAGCGTGGTTTGTTATTCTTTAACAGTGTGTTTGTCAGTATTTTTATATCTTGTTGTGCTAAATAATAAATTTTATAAGATGCCGAAATGTGTCGTCAAAATCGACGCAAAAAAAATGAAAATAAAATTGAAATTAAAAAAAATCCAGGAAAAAGTTCAACAGAACGTAGTCGCGAGTTTCGTGCGCGAAAAAAACAATTATTGAACAATCAAAATAGATGTTCAAATATAAGTGTTAATGTGACTGGTGTAATAAATGGTAAGTGTAAATGTTTTTTAATCCTGTTTTAAGTATAAACTAATATTTCAATGTTTTTCAATCAATAAATTTGATTTTTATTTTATACTGATCATGGATTATATATATATAACCTCAATACACCACGTGTATAATCTTATTTATTTTATTCTGTTTTAGACCACTCTCAGCAACAAAATAGTGTTCCAATGGGATATAATTTAGTAAATAATGATTGTAAGTACCAATAATTAATACTAACTTTCATCATTTAATTTTAAATAATTAAAAAAAATTTTTAAATTTAATAATAATTTAGTTGGAAAAACTTAAAAATTTAATAATTTAATTTAAAAACATATACTTAATTTATAATTCATGATTTAAAATATTTAAAAAAATTTAATTTAATTTAAACTTATATTTAATAATTCTCAAATTAACAAAATGATTTATCATTTAGATTTATAGGAAACAAAAACAATTTTAAGACAGATGAATATTTTTGAATTGTAAAATAAATTGTAAGAAAATTGAAAATTAAAATGATATTAAAAAAAAATAATAATTTAGTTTTAAAATAAAATTTGGATAATTTTTAAATTGTACATATAATTTAATAACGATATTTGAAAATAATCATCATCTTAAAATGAGTTTTTAAAATTAATTTTATATACATTTTCAGAATTTACGATATAAAAAATTTTAGTTTTTTAAAGAATTGATTCTCAATGCACAATCGATAGATAACTCGTTACATTCTTTGAATTGTTTTTTTTTTTTAGATAACCCTCCAGTAGATGTACAGCCAGAAATTCCATATTCACGGTTTCATCAAGATAAGTTTGCTCATAAAGAATTTAACCACAAGTTTTTAAACAATATGTTTGGTCATAAGTGCTCCGTTTGTGATCGATTGTGGTTTCGATTAGATTTAAAATCACCACGTGCTGAAGATGAACAATTATTAAGTGTAATAGTTGAAAATTATAATACAGTTGAAGATATTTTACTGTGCAACACGTGTTACCAAGCCATTGGGAGGAAAGTGATTCCTACAATGTCTACTTATAACGGTTTTAAATATGAAACGACACCTGACGTTTTACCACCGCTTGACTTAATTTCTGAAAGACTTGTTTCACCACGAGTTCCATTTATGCAAATTAGACGGTTACGACATGTTCATGGGCAATATGGAATTTATGGACAAATCATTAATGTACCAGTCGATGTAAACAATATGGTAAAACTCTTACCCCGTAATGTCGATGATGATTACTGTATTAACGTACACATTAAAAGAAAAAAAAATACATAGATCAAGCTATTTAATAGGACTGGTTAATAAAAGGACAATTCGTGCATGGCTTCAGTATCTGCTTCAAACTCCACTTTATTTATTTTACGATATTAAAATTGATGAGAGCTTCTTCAACAATGATAATAACAATGAGATTGATCTAGAAGAAATGAGTAAAGATATACCGGTTGAAGAGAGTCTAACAGCACAACAGAAAACTCTACTTTGGAATGAAGATATGTATTTACGGATCGCTCCTAGTAAATGCAACACCGTTCGCAATAGCAACTAGTGAATTACGAAGATCAGATCGGCGTGGAGTTACTCCACATCATTTATTATATCTAGCAATGAAAATTATGAGGTTAAGAGTTCGTGACTCGCTTACGATTGCATTTAAACATGTGGGAAAATATACTAATATTACACGGCAGCAAGTTGAGTCAGCTGACTACATTAATAATTGTATCGAAAGTAATTTAGCTTTCCTACGCTCAATACCAAATTCAGTTTGGTATTGGAGCGATCGAAAAAGAGATCTTTTTGCGATGATTCGGCAACTAGGAAAACCTACGATGTTTCTTACTTTGAGTGCCAATGAAATCGGATGGACCAATTTAATACAAATATTGTACAAATTAAAAAATAACGGTACTGAAATTTCAGCTGAACAAGCTGCGTCGCTGGATTACATATCTAAGACTACACTAGTGAATGAAGATGCTGTGACCTGTGCTATCTATTTTAATAAAATAGTCAATATATTGATAACTATTCTCCAATCAAAAAAAAACAGCCCATTTGGAAATTATTATGTTGTCGACTATTTTAAGCGAATTGAATTCCAGCATCGTGGTAGTCCTCATGCACATATTTTATTGTGGCTGAATGACGCTCCATCAGATCCTCTTGGTACAAACTATCAAGATACTGTAATGATGATCGATCAATTGATATCAGTTTCTTCAACAGAAGCTTCTGGACATATTCGCTTGCAAAGTCACAAACATACCTTTACTTGTTATAAAAAAGTACATGCCAATCAACCTCAGAAATGCCGATTTGATGCTCCATTTATGCCATGTAATTCCACTACAATATTAAAACCAATGCAAAAAGATCATCCAGGATATGCTGATTATGCTAAGCGGTATAAACAAATACAAATTAATCTTGAGAACAATGATTACGAGAATATTGAAATGTTTTATGCACAAAATCATATAACTTCTGATAATGATTATTTTCATATTCTTGAAGCTGGAATTACCAGACCTAAAGTATTTTTGAAGCGACAGCCTAAAGAAAAATGGCACAACCCTTTCAATCCTTTCATTCTCAATGTATTACAATCAAATACAGATATGCAATTTATTATCGAAGAATACTCATGTGCAGCGTATGTTGTTGAATACGTCAATAAAACTAATAGGGGTATAAGTAATTTACAAAGACAAATTCATGAAATCATGGAAGAAAATCCTGAGTTTGATATAGTAGAAATAACTAGAAAAATGAGTGTTAATATGCTCAATACCGTTGAATTAACAAGCAGGGAAGCAGCGTGGTACCTTCTTCGTGAACCTATGTCTAGAAGTTCAGTCTCCACAGTTTATATTCCCACCGTTTGGCCTATTGAACGACAACGTATTAGACGAACACAAAAAGAATTAGATGAATTAAATATCGATGAAGATTCAACAAGTATTTGGAAGGAAAACTGGTTTGATAAATACGAGAAGCGGCCACAAGAAATGGAAGAATTATCACTTGCACAATTCGTTGCTAATTTTACTAAAAATTCTAAAGGCGATTATATTCGTCGAAAGCAACAACGCATCATTCGTTATAGGATTTATGATATAGCCTCAGATATAAATGAATATAAAAGAGAAATGGTGACTTTGCATATCCCATTTCGGAATGAAGAATTCGATATTCTTGAAGAGATGAAATTTATTAGAATTTACGACGAAAATGAAAACCAAATTCTAGAGCGACGTAAAGAGTTTGAATCTGACTTAGACATTAATAAAACTATAGAGCTGTGCCGAAAACTATGTCGCGAAAATGAAGAAGCAGACGATGACGATGAGATTCATGATATTGCCACTAGAATTCCAGAAGCTAATCCATTCCAAACGCTATATGACAATCCGAATTCGGATGTAAACAGTGATTTACGTATCGCGACCCTAAATAAACTTGGTGCCATTGCAAAACGGAAAGAAAATCTAATACCTAACGACCAATATTATGAGCTGATGAAAATGACAAACCAAAAACAAAAGGAACTTTTGATGCACGTCATTTACAATCTTCAGTTGGAAGATCCTCCTCCGCTGCAAATATTTTTTACAGGACCAGCTGGATGTGGTAAAACATTTGTTATTAAATTATTAATGGAAATTTATAATCGATATTCTGAAAGTGATGGGTTTTGCAATGCTTATATCACTTGTGCTTCGACTGGTAAAGCTGCTGTGGCTATCGATGGGACAACAGTACACACTGCACTGAAGATAAGTCTTTCAAAGTTGCTTCCTTTATCAATTGAAGTAGCCCAACAATACAGATCACTCTTTAAATATGTTCGTGTATTGATTATCGATGAAATCAGTATGATTGGAGCCGAGTTGTTGTCCCAAATAGATTCAAGGCTAAAGCAAATCAGCGGTAATTTTGAAGTCAATTTTGGTGGATTAGATATAATTTTGATTGGTGATCTACGTCAACTACCGCCAGTTCGTGCTACCCCAATTTACAAACAAATAAAACGACAAATAGCAGGTTCAACACTCTGGCGAGGGTTGAAATTTTTCGAACTAAACGAAGTTATGCGACAAGCTAATCAAAGTTTTGCAACAATATTAACAAAAATTGGTAATGGACAGTTGTTAGACAAAGAAAAGCTAGATTTAATTGAATCACGGATTTACTCCGAAGAAGAAGCTGAGAGACATTGTCCAGACGGTATTCGATTGTTTTTTGATAATCATTCAGTTGCTAAATACAACAATAAAATTTTGGATTCTATGGAAGAAAAAGTGAATTCAGTGGCAACAGATATATATATTGGATGTAAAAATATTGAACAGCAAACTTCTATGCGTCAAAAATTACATAAAATGTCAACTATTGATACAGGAGGTTTGCCATATCAAATTACATTGGTTTTGAACAAACCATACATGATAACAACTAACATCGATGTATCAGATGGATTAGCAAATGGTGCGACAGGAAAATTAATTTTCATTGAATATAATGACAAAGGAGAGATAGGTCGTTTATGGCTAGAATTTCCAGGATCTCCAAAAATCGGAGAAAAATTGAGAAGAAAGGCAGCGGCATCAATTCAAAAAAATAATCTTCATCCACTGGCAGTACCAATAGATCGCAGAACATCATCTATACCACTAGTACCTAATAAAACCGTTATTGTAAAACGTAATCATTTCCCATTAGTCTCTGCATGTGCAATGACGATTCACAAGTCCCAGGGAGCTACTTTTGGTGAGATTGTATATGAATATGATAAATCACACGCTCAACAACTCCTGTACGTCGCATTATCACGAGTTACATCAATTAAAAAAACCATTTAGCTGCGTGAGGGAAACCCGGTCACTAGCTAATTGGGCGATCCGCACATTTCGGGGTCAGGACGACGAGAGAGTTTATGCGAAGTTCTTTTGGGACTCAAATTTTCGGGCGTTTCCAAATTACTATTTGGGGGAAAACAGTATCCAATTAGCTGTCTATTTCCCTTAGATTCTACTCTCTCTTCCGAGTTTTCTAAAGATGTTCGCTTGAATTCCCTTCCTTGGGCCCAGAGGCATGAGGTGCCTCTCTCTCTTACTTATGGCTAATATATATCTATGTATTGGTATACGTGTAAGCACATTTACATGCACACAAACACATAGTTTTTCTAACTAAGTCTTATATTTTATTTATAATTATTACTAACTTATTTATTTATTTAGTTTGTTTTATGAATGATAATATTCATTTCGCACATAATTATTTATGCAATTGTTGTTAATTGTATATTATTAATTTTTAAATAATTATTTAAATATTTCCTATTGTTTATTTGTTAATTCTTATTTTTACTAATTATTTAAATATTTCTTATTTACGTGAATATTATTTCTTAATTTGTTGTTCAATTGAATTATTAATTTTAGTTATTTAAAATTATTTATTTTAAAAGTTTTAAATTTATTGTTCTCTTAAATTTAATCCTATTAACGTTTAAAAATCTCTAAGGTTCTTGTTCAAACTGCTGTCAATACAGAGGGCAATAAAACTCCCATTTACTTGTGTATTTAGGGTCTTTTTAATCCTTAGAGATAAGATGGCCTAATGACGGGAATTTTTTTGGCGAGACCGGACGAGACACTTAATGAGTTTTCTCATTATTAGTGTCTGCTGTAAATTTTACTTCCAAAAAAATATATTTTAAAATTAATAAAAGTTCGTATTATTTTAAGACAAAAAAAATAAAAAACGTTAATTTAGCCACGACGTAACAAAACTCTATAGATTTATATATTAGTATGGAAGTATGGATATAGATATAGATATGGTACTATGTACAAATGAAAATAACGATGAACCCTTGTTCGGACTCGTTAAATTTATTTTTACTGAAGATCAAACACCAATTTTTATATATCAAAAGCTAAGAACGATGTTCCGAAGTCATGAAAACGTTTATGAAATAACCGATATAATGCCAGCTTGTTTTATTATTAGCTATAATGATTTATTTTATTTTAAACCTTTAAGTTTAACATTAAAATTTGAAAAATATCATATAATATTGCGTCATTATTTATAAAAATGAAATTTTAATTCAAATTTTTTGTTTTGACTCTGTGTAAATTATTTCATAAAAATATATTACTTGTTTTTCTAAAAAATTTATAGTTTTTTATTATTAATACATTCTTATCTTATAATAAATTGTCATAATAGTAATTTCGTTAGTAAAAATATTGACATTAATAAGAATTTGTAAGTTTTTAATGGGTATTCAATATTTAAATTTACTGTAATAAAATAAATATCGAAATCAAGCCGTTTAATAATAGTAGATGTTTAATAATTTTTAGAATTTTTTTAAAAAATAAATTATGGCAAAAAGATGAGAAAAAAAAATTGAATTGTAGAAATTAAAAAAAATTAATAGCCCCGGGAAAAAATGATCAGGACTGATCAGACCTGTTCATATCTGATCAGGCCTGATTAGACTTGTCCATGTCTGTTCATGCCTGTTCATGTCTGAAGTGTTAAATATGCTCAGACCTGATCAGACCTCATCAAGCCTGTTCATGTCTGTTCATGCCTGTTCATGTCTGAAGCATTAAATACGCTCAGACCTAATCAGATCTGATCAAGCCTGTTCATGCTTGTTCTTGTCTGAACCGTTAAATACGCTCAGACCTGATCAAGCCTGTTCATGTCTGCTCATGTCTGTTCATGTCTGAGGCATTAAATACGCTCAGACCTGATCAAGCCTGTTCATGCCTGCTCATGTCTGTTCATGTCTGAAGCATTAAATACACTCAGACCTGATCAAGGCTGTTCATGCCTGTTCATGTCTGAAGCATTAAATATGGTCAGACCTGATCAGACCTGTCCATGCTTGTTCATGTCTGAAGCGTTAAATACGCTCAGACCTGATCAGACCTGTCCATGTCTGATCATGTCTGTTCTAGCCTAATAGAAAAGGATTAAAACTCCATATATCAGCTGACCAGAACTGTTCATGCATGACTTACCCTCTTAAATGATATTTTAAGTCTGGAAGAAAAATTTTATCGAACTATAGACTGCAGTTTTATTTTTAAAATTAATTTGTTCCGTATGACGTATCAGTTTCTATCCCCTTATAAATTTTAAATGTACAACTTTCATCAAAAATTTCGGCTTATATAAGCATGAACTGTTTAATTTTCCATGCCAAAACGATGATTTTTAACGATGAATCTTGAGGCAATGACATAAAATTTTTTACTGTGTTCCATTGAATACGCGAAAAATAAGATTATTTAGTAAAAGTTTGAGTTTGATAGCGTGAAAATACCAAAATATATCAGTTGATATCGATAAGTCCTTTCAAGAATACCAACTTAAGATTGAGTACAATAAAGTGATGCAAGAGTACATCGACCTTGGTCATATGGTACTCGTATCACATGATCAAGAGCCGGGCTACTATTTACCACATCATCCCGTCATAAAAACATCTAGCACTACCACCAAGGTGCGCGTCGTATTCGACGCATCTGCAAAATCTGACAAAGGTATCTCCTTGAATGAGGTCCTGCTGACGGGGCCTACTGTACAAGATAACTTATTTACTATTTTATTACGTTTTCGTATCTATGTTTACGCTATGACTTCTGATATTGCTCAAATGTATAGACAAATCCGGGTTCATCCAGATCATCATAAATTTCAAAGAATTTTTCATTATCATAACGATAAAATTAGTACCTTTGAATTACAACGAGTCACTTTTGGAGTATCCGCAGCTCCATTTCTAGCCACACGTACAGTGAATCAATTAGCTGACGACGAACGTCATAACTTCCCAAACGCCTCGACTATTCTTAAACGTGATTTGTATGTAGATAATTTATTAACTGGAACTAATTCATTACCTGAAATTTTGCAATTACGCGATGAAATAATTCAATTAGTAAGAAAGGGGGGTTTTGAACTCCGTCAGTGGGCCTCTAATCATAAACATGCATTAGACAATTTTGACCAAAGAACGCTTGACTTGGATTGTGCTATTAATGATGACCCTATATCTAAAACTCTTGGTATTGCCTGGAACTCTTTGACTGATGAATTTATCTATACTGTCAATTCACTTAATTCTTTGAAAAGGATGACCAAACGAACAATCTTATCAGATATCGCAAAAATTTTTGATCCACTTGGGATTTTAGGTCCAGTAGTACTTGCTGCTAAAGCGATGGTACAAGCATGTTGGAAAGCTAAGGTTCATTGGGACGAAGCAGTACCTCAGGAATTACATACTCGTTGGTGTAAATTTGCTGAACAACTACCCTTAATTAGAGAATTTGCCGTTGAACGTAATATTGTCATTCCCAATGCTATTAATATCGAGATACACGGTTTTTGTGATGCTAGCAAAATAGGCTACGGAGCCTGCTTATATGTACGTTCAATGAACCAACAAGGTCAAGTAATTGTCAAACTAGCTTGTTCAAAATCTAGAGTTGCGCCAATTAAAGATGTCACCATACCTAAATTAGAACTGTGCGGAGCACAATTACTATCTAGATTGTATAAAGAAGCACTTCCTGCTCTTAACTTCACTTGTGACAAAATAGTTTTTTGGTCAGATTCAACTATTGTTTTACAATGGCTTAAACGCTCGCCCCACAACCTTAAGGTTTTTGAATCAAATCGAGTTTCAGAAATACAATCTCTTGGGAGTAATGTAGAATGGCGACATATTAGAACTAATGATAATCCTGCTGACTCTTTATCTCGAGGTCAATTGCCATCCGAATTTCTTAAAAATAACATGTGGTTTGAGGGTCCTACGTGGCTTACACAGGATCCTAATACCTGGCCTATTTCTATTCAATCTGTTCCTTCAGAACTACCAGGTTTACGAAAAAACACCTGTCTACTAGCATCTACCAATGATCTATTCCAACGCTTTTCATCGTATTCAACACTCATAAATTCTTTTTCATTCATTTTACGTATGCTCAAATCAAGTCCGTTTAAACATAAACCACTGAGTGTTGAAGAAAAATTAAAAACAGAAATTCGAATACTTACGTTAATTCAACAAGAACAATTTCATTGTGAAATAGAACAACTTAAAGAAACTGGAGACACAAAAAATCTAAGATTACGTTGTCTGAATCCCTTTATTAATCAAGATGGCTTATTGCGAGTAGGTGGTCGTTTAAAACACGCCCCTATTTCATTTTCTACAAAACATCCCATTTTGCTGCCTTCACATCATTATGTTACAGATTTAATTATTAGAGAAACACATAAAAATGCATACCACTCTGGTATTCAAGCAACATTATCAAATTTACGTCATAAATTCTGGTTACTGGATGGAAAGGGCCAGATAAGGCGAGTTGTCAAAAGATGCGTGGAATGCATTAGACATCGTCCTGCGATACTTCAAGGGAAGATGGCTGACCTACCTAGTGCTAGAGTAACAGAATCAGCCGCGTTTTCTCATGTGGGAGTAGACTATTTTGGACCTTTATTCATAAAAGAAAGAAAATTCAGAAATCGAACTAAGGTTAAGGTCTATGGGTGCGTTTTTATTTGCATGGCCACGAAGGCGGTCCATCTTGAGATCGTTAGCGACCTGACTACTGATGGTCTTGTAATAAATTTTTTTCTTCCATAGATATTAATTTAATAATAATAATAATACACTTTCTGTGATTAACAAACTTTATATTATCCAGGTGAAACAAGTATGAAAAATTATTTAAAGATAATCCATTCGTTGTAATATTAATTACGAACATTAGAATTTTTTCTTTTTAATATTAATAAAAATTAAAAATAATAATAATAATAATAATAATAATAAATGAATAACTATAAGTTGGGCAAGGCTATATATACAATAAGTAATTTAATTTTTTAATATTAGCTGCCACGGAAATCTAACCATCAAAATCAGTTCAGTTCATTAAAAAAGAGTTCAAATTGTTTATAATATTTTTTTTCAAAAATTAAATAAGCTAGCAAAAGTAAATGGCACGCCCCTTAACGTGAAGCGTTAATCGTACTTTATATACATGCTACTTTTTTTGCGATTACTATTTCATACATAATTATATAAATAAATAATAGCAGACGATGTATGTAAATAAACGAGACCAATGATTTCTTAATTACATACCTGAATGCAATTCCGTAAGTAAAATATAAAAATTTATGAAACAATATTAATTAACAACTGAGAAATATCTTTTCCGTTTCTAATTTGTACAATCTGCCTATTTTTAAGTAATGATAATTTTATACAATGTACTGTTGTAAAATATAATCTAAATGCTGTCAAGTTTAGGTTTTACTTTGACAATTTATCCAAGATTTTGTTCTGTTTTTTTGTAAAATTCCATATTAATTGAATTTTAATTTTAAATATAAAATAAAATATAATTACAAGGTTATAAATTTATCAGATCTACAAGTATTAAAGATTGTTATTACAATAATCCATAATTAAAAACAGTTTTTTTCGTGCTTGAAAAAAATTTTTATCTATCTTTCTAAACTATGTTATATAATTATAAAATTTTGTCAATTTAAATAACGAATTTAATTCAAGTTAGTTACATTTAAACTAAAGTTTGAATAATATCCTGAATCTTGATTATGTATACAAATTTAAAAACAATTAAGTATGTAGATACTTAAGATTATCACTTAAAATTACATAAACTATAACAAAATATTAGTTCTGAATAATTTTAATGATGAACTGAAAGATGTTATGGTTTAAATTTCACTAACGGTATATTTTTAGATTGTAAACATTTATCACACACCCATTCCGCATAAACTTCTTGAGTCAATAACTGGAAGGCTGCTTCTGATAGTCCCGAACATCCTCTAAAATTTTAATTTAAATTGTTATCAATCTATAATAAATGATAAAGTATAAATAAATTTTATTTTATTTTTTTACCGATGAAACCAAAAATTACAGCCTGATTCACATAATATGCCTTGATCATTATCATGGACTTCTTTATGACAAATACCACAAGGATAAATTGGTGGAGCATTTGGATTTTGTGAATTAAAAACCATCGGTTGGTCTGGAGGATAAATCTGAAAGTTAAGTGCAAAATTTTAATTGAGAGTCTTAAGAGAGTATGGAATAAAATCATTTTAAGTCTACAATCAATGCGAATGAGATTTATGATATTAAACGCCGTTTTTTGAGCCCAAAGTAAGATAAACTTCAAAACTATATCCAGTAAAACTCCTATACAGTACAACTTGATTATAAGTTATATTTCTTTCTCTTTTTTACTTACATGAAATATTTCATATATAGATATAACTGCCGGGAGAGTGAGTAGATCATCCGATGTAACTTATAACCAGGTTGTACTGTAAATTTAAAGATGCAAGACCGAGAATTCTCAGAATTAAAATTTATGAAAACCGCCGTCAGGCATTACTTCGTGAAGGGAGGATCTAGCTACTGCTCTTCCTTCTGGTAGCTAAGGTGTTAACTTCCTTCTTTTTATCTTCTGCTATTTGCTCTTCTTCTTTCGGTGGAACGCAAGTCTTTGAGGACTTCTGTTGCAAACGTGTTGGTAGCGTTCTAGGCAGCTTCTGACAACATTGCTTCAACTAGTGAATCTGGTTGCATTCTCTGGTTCAGGATCCTCTCCAACTGTTCACGCTGTGGATCGAAACAAGGACATACAAAGAAGACGTGCTCTGCATCTTCAGCAACTCCTGGGCAGGACGGGCACTCCGTAGAGTCATCGTGCTTAAAGCGGTGTAGATACTCTCGAAAACACCCGTGTCCCGATAACATCTGCGTAAGATAGTAATTGACCTCGCCGTGATTCCGGTTAAGCCAAATATCGATCCGAGGTATGAGACGATGTGTCCATCTACCCTTCTCTGCAGCATCCCATTGTAGTTGCCATCGGCCTATACTCATCTGCCGTTCTTCAATTCTAAGTTCTTCAGGGCTCAGTGTAGTTGACCTTTTTCGTTGGTATAGGGCCCGTCTTTCCTCTGCTAGAACTCTAAGAGGTAGGGTTCCAGCAATGACGCACACTGCTTCTTCTGATATAGTGCGGAAGGCACTAGCTACTTGTAGGGCACTTAGTCGATATACTGATCCACTATGTGTGTGTGTGTGTGTGTGTGTGTGTGTGTGTGTGTGTGTGTGTGTGTGTGTGTGTGTGTGTGCGTGTGTGTGTGTGTGTGTGTGTGTGTGTGTGTGTGTGTGTGTGTGTGTGTGTGTGTTAACAACAAAATTTATCTAAAAAAATTGTTAAAAAAAAAAACATTAAGTTAAATTTAGAACGAAACTTACGCAAACTCAACCACCTAAAATAAAAAATGTGATAATTAAAAGTTATGAAGAAATTATTTTAATGCTTTTCTTGATCATTAATTATAAGTTTTTATTCAATTTATCAGGTATAAAATAAAATATAAATGAATTGCTGTCAAGTGTAATTATTAAGTAACGAGATTGTATTCCTCAAGCGAATTTAAATTTTCGGTTACAGAATTATTCAAAGAAAAAACTTTCATTTAGAATGAAGGGCATAGATTATGTAGTTTCTTATCGCTAGAAATAAATTTATTCATATATTTTTATTGTTGAATGGCTATAAAATATTGAGTTAATCAGCTAATAAAAAACGCCATTCGGCCACACCCGAAATGGAAGGTAGATTTCACTGATTGAAATTCTTGATAGAATGACGTACATAAGTCGGTTGTACTACTCATTGCCTGAAAATGGTTTAGTTGCACTCTTAACTTTGATAAAATAACTTAAAATGGTCAAAATGTTGATGTTATATACGTCAAATTAAAGGTAATTTTATGAGCTATTACATGAATTTTTCCAAAATAGCTATCTCTGTTCAATCAAAAGTTATACATCAATGAAGTGGCCGAAAACGTGATTTTCACTTTTTTGAAAATTTTAAATGGCCGCCATTTTTAAACTAATTGATCGATTTTGCTCATCTTCGAACTCGTTCAAGGTAATTACCTAAAGAATATGTGTACCGAGTTTCATCTAAATCCGTTGAGAACTGTAGACGCTATCGTGTTCACAAGCCGCGTTATATTACATATGTGTATATATATATAAACTTTTGAACCAATGCTAATTTTGAGCTTTACTCGACTACATAAGAGATAAAATGACAAAATTCCGTGTGAATTCCGACACAAGGTCCAATGCAATAGATAGATTTCTACGAAATCTACCTAAAACTAATCAGCTCTTAACATCAAAAAACCACGTCGATCGCCGCCAGTCCGAAAGAAAACCAAAAAAAGTGTTTTTTCGGAATTACTCCGAAATTTTTTGTTCTATCAATTTGAACTTAAAGATTCTCTATGAAGCTTAAAAAACTGCCTCGAACGCCACCAACCGCGTGAAAATCGGTTCATTTATTCAAAAGTTACTGCGGTTTGAAAATTTGAAAAATAGTGTTTTATCAAACTTCTATCAGAATGACCTCAAAGGCATGAATCTATTCTAATTTAAAAAACACATGATCGGTCGTGAAAATAATAACTTAAAAACTTCTATCAGACTTTTGAGCTCAAAAGCATAAAAAAGCTATTTTTGAGCTCGGAGAGCTCAAAGTAACACACAAATTGTATTTATGAGCTCGCAAAGCTCAAAAACATCATAAATGCAATTTCAAGCGTTTAGGTATAGAATTGGCGGGAAGTTGCAGGGATGGCCTTCAGGGTCAACCGTTTTCGTAATTTTTTTTTTTTTATTATTCATTATTAAAACGAAATTTTATTGACGTATGTTCTGTTTGTTATTTTTCTAATTTGATTTTTTATTGATAAGTCGTTTGAAATAAATTATTATTTCATAACGTCAATCTGATGGTAGTTCTTTTATCATCAAATTTGTCTTTAAAATATTTACTTATAGGTATATTTTTATGTTAGAAAGCACTATTTACTCATTTAATTTAAATAATATTAAAATGATTCTACTCAATTCAAGTAGCTCAACTTGAAGAGACATCAATTCATCAACAAATGTTTGAAGATAAAAATTTTAATCTTTTCTTTTTTTTTGACGATTTTTCTTTAAAAAATAAAATTTGATAATAGAAATCAAAATTAAAAATTTTCTAAACCGTCTGATTTATCGTGGAATGCCTTATATTTTACTTGAGTAAAATACTAGTCTTTAGACTAGTATTTTAAAGTGATAAAAATAAAAAAAAAAAAGTTTTTATTACCTTTCCTGCTGAAACTGGCATAGGTTTAGACCCCATACCAGGTCCTTGATATCCATGAGGTGGAATATTCATAGGATGACCCATAGGCGGGCCACCAGCCATATTATTCGACATAGTAGCCATAGGACTCGATATATGTCCCATTTGATTTGAGTGAGGAACGTTCATATTTGACATATTATTTATTTGAGGACCAGTTATATTCATGTTGTTTATTGTATTTGGCCCAGGCAAATTTATATTATTAGGCATCATCGAGCTCATAGTAGTCATAGGTCCGTTCATAGATCTTCCTAAATTACTGAGATTACTTCCCATATGATTTGAATGTGGTTGCGAGCCATTGTGATTTAATGGGCTGTTTACATTACTTATTGAAGGTCCATTAAGTGGACTATTAGGTGGCATATGATTGGTCATATTATTTATATTTATTGGTCCATTAGGGATGTGGTTGTGATTATTACCTCCAATACTATTCATTGGCGATCCTAGTGGTCCACCCATAGGACTTCCCATATTGTGGCCCATATTATTCATTGGGCTTCCCATTGGACCATTATTTATATTACTCATTGGACTTCCCATAGGTGGTCCACTCATTTGAGCATTATTCATGTGATTTAAATTCATATGATTATTTATAGAATTTATCGGTCCCGTAGGTATATTGGATCCCATATTATTCATAGGACTCATACCTCCCATTGGTGCATGATTCATCGGTGACATGCCTCCCATGTGATTTATATGATTATTCATAGGTGAATTACCCATCGGGCTCATATTGCCCATATTGTGAGGAATCATTGGATTTATACTACTCATCGATGTAAGTGGACTCATACCCCTCATAGAAGCACCCGTCATATGATGAGGATGATGTGGATGTCCACCGTGTATATGTGGTGGTCCACCATGTATCATTGTATTTGGTGTACTTTGAGGTGGAGCATCATCAAAAGGATTACTTGCTACTATTGTATCGCCGTAACCCGACAAAGGTGGTGGCAATAAGTCCTAAAGTATAGAATTATCACATATTAGATAAACTTTAAACAATATTTAACTAGTGAATGTAAAATTATATATAACCTGTAGAGACGGGGGAGGTTGAGAAGCTGCAGGTGCTACGTTAGCATTCGTTCTTCTTTTTTTTTTAGGATTAGCACCAGCTGGTGGTGGTGGTGGAGGATGAGGATGAGCATTAGGTTCAGAATGTGGACCGTTAGGTCCCATTCCAACTCCCATACCACTGAGTGGCATCCTAGCAAAAGGTGGCATGCCTGCGATATTATGGCTCATCTCCTTTATTCTGATCTTCTATTTTATCATGCCTGGAGATGATTACTATGGTTCGGTTTAATTTTTTTTCTTTTGACGTTCTGTTATGAAAAAAAAAAAGAAAAAAATTATTAAATTTAAGGATACTTACATAAAGTAAACATTGAACTATAAAAAGAATTAATACATACTATGACAATGAATGAGTAATATAACAAAAAAAAAAAAAATGTGTCTAGATAAAATTTAAGCCTTCAATAAAGTTAAGAGCTGCCTTCTTTTGTTTTCTACATTTCTATTCAAGATAGTACTGTCGGATTCAGAATTACTATTCATATTTTAAAAAGATTCGGCATGTTATTAATAAATAATAATTATCTCAATAAATTTTTAAAGAGCTACTACAAACCATTTAAATTATAAATATTTTTCAAAAAGTATTATTCAGGTTTAAAAATATATTGAGTATTATTCAGCATCACCCGATAAGAAAAGGTAGATTTTGATATCACAAATGATATAAATACATATCCCGAATTCTAAAATTCTTTTGGTGCCAATAAACCTAGTGTACAAAATATTTAAAATAATATAAAAAAATACATTGGAGTATGATTTTTTGATAATTATGCAGAAATGGGGCTCCCCCTATTTTTTAGTGTAAAAAATCGAAAAATTAATCTTTTTGAATATTTTTTTTTTCAAATTCATATTCACGACGGATTTATGATAAAAATGATAAAATGTATGAAAATGGAATATTTTGGTAATTTTTGTTCTTTTGAAGTTAAAAAATTTACGATTTCAGGTGTTTTTCAATGAAATGGTCACGATGCTATTTTTTTCGGTTATTAAAATATTTTTTTTCTTAAAGAGCGATAAAAATATAATAAATTAGGAAAAAAAAAAAAAATTCAGCATATCATAATTTGAAAATTTTTGAACTTCAAATGAAAGAAAATCACCAAAATATTGCATTTTCATACTTTTTATCATTTTTATCATAAATCTACCGTCAAGAACAATTTTAAAAAAAATATTCAGAAAGATCAATTTTTCGAATTTTATTGTATTTCAATTTTATTTAAAATAGGTGGAGCCCTACTTCTGCATAATTACCCTAACAAAAACAAAAAGCCATCGTAATTTTGTAGAAATTTTACTAAATATGGACTCGACCAAACGTTTCAGTCCCATAAATGGTTATATATTACTTTCTACGAATCTAATGAATTAAATTAAGTGATATATCAAAATATTCATAATTCTCTATCAGGGGGTATGATTTCATTTATATTACTTTTTTTTTTACAATTTAATTTAAGAGAAAAATGATAAATGGATAATATAATATAATAGAAATGATGTATCAATTAATCACGTACATAATTTTAAAAGTAAGTGACAGTATTATTCAATAATATTTATCACAGAAATAATCATTAATAATTCAATAATTTTTAAATAATAATTATCATTGATAAGAAAATAATTTTTCCAAACAAAGCATAAAATAAATAAATGAGTTGACTTAAATGAAAATAAAAAAAAAAGTAATTTTGGATGAATCACAAAAAAATATCAAAAAAATTATGTAAGACAAATTTAAATATTTTTTAGTTCAAGAAAACATTAATTTTGTTCTGGCTGGGTTCAATCGTGTTAACTATTTCTTTGATTTGAATCTATTTTTCAGTCTACATACATTTCATTGTTTAACTTGGATTTTGATAATTCGTTAATAATTCAGTATATCTGGATTACCAGTATACATGTTCATAAGAAACTCAACTTTCTAAAAAAAATATTTATCATTTTTCGATAAATTCACTCGTCAATTAATTATTCAAGGTCAACAACGAAATAACAGTGAATTTCACGATTTAAAGAAGTTTATGGTTAAACCATTGGTAGTTGAGAAGAAATTTTTATTTCAATTTGATTCAGACGTAAATCATTAATTTAAAGGATTGTTATATAAATTAAAAACCTTGGTATCTTGAAGTTTATTTTTTAGCAAGTTAACTTTTTAAATGATTTAATTGGAAAAATGATTTAAATTGGCTAAAGAAATATATCTATTATGACAAAGGTAAACGTACTTATCGTTAAATTGAATAATATTTCTCACTTATATCCATGAATATTGTTGACGAATTCTTTTCATTATTTTCATTCGTCATTAGGTGTATTTATTTTTTTCTTCCCCAGGGTCATTAATTTTTAGCAAACTTCTATGCATCTAGAATTTCAAAATTATGAGAATATTTCTATGATTTGAAGTGAAAACTTTTCCCTGCAATAAACAGTACTTCCTCTACATTATCTTTTTAAGTGTAATTTTTATTTTATCAGAGTGGGTAGTAAAAAATGCGATGATGTAAGCTTCTAGTTATTATTAGAAGCTCAAATTTTAACCATACACCTTAATTGAAAGTCTTTTTACATTTAAAAAAATATCTTCAACTTCTTCCGAAACATTTGACTATGTATATTCCAATTAAAAAAAATATCTTTTACTTTTTCCAAAACATTTGACTATGTATATTCAGTGTGTGTTTATGTTGGATGTAAGTAGAAATGAATACTGAATGTTTTTGAGAAAAATCGAATATATATATATATATATATA